TCCGGCCGCCACCGCCGGCTGCCCGGTGCCTGAGACAGGGGGGCTCACACGGCTGGGCCCGCCGCGAGCACCCCCCTGCTCTTTTGGCACCTGCCCAGCCAGCAGCCCTGCGCCAGTGCCTTCTCCCACCGCTGCCCCCACCGCCGCGACCTGGGCCTTGCCACCCCTGCTGTCCCGCAGCGCCGTCTTGCGGGTGCGCCCCGCACAACCACTAGCCGCCGCGCGCCTTGCAGCGCCCTGCTCTGCACGCCCCTCAGCGCCAGCTCCTGCCACGCTCTGTCGTGCGCGCCCCACAGTCTCGCTGCCAGCTGGGCCCACTACCCTGTCCCCTCCCAGCGAGACTTTGCGGCGGCGCCCGCCCTCGCGGCAAGCTGCCAGGATCCACATGAGGGAGTTGAGATCCATAGCTTGCCCTAGCAGCTCCCTGCGGGTCAACTCTGAGATCCCCGGCGCGCTCCCAAACTCACGTGGAAACCCCATCGCCAGGGCACGTTCGTCTGCTGTGGGCTCCTCAAACGTGACCTGGCCGTCCGCAGCGGAGGACCCCCCCTCCGCCCCGAGAGAATGCGTAAGACCCCCCGTAGCTGACGAAGGTGTTGAGCGCCCTACGAGGCGTGCCGGGGATCTCCACCTTTGCCCAAGGCGCCACACCTGCTGACTTGGGATTTCGGGCTCGGCGATTGCGCCCCAGGACTTGGTGGACAAACAAGCCTGGCGGCCGCAACTGCTGACCCAACGCCTCCCGCAGCAAGGAGACGCCTTCTAAGTTGGTCCACCAGGCCCGCAACCGGTGAGCCCTGGACCCCAGCTGCGCGGCGTCCAACACCACCTCGAGCCCCAGCAAACCTCGAACTGCCTCGAAGTGCTCGCGCACGCGGGGTCGCTTGTCATGGCCCGCGGCGACGTGCTCGATCAGGTAGGCCATCGGCTGTCCCCAGGCTTGGTGGAGGGCCTGCAGCTCATTCAAAACACTCATCAACTCTTTGAGGAGCCCGCTCCTCGCATCATCCAGCCCCAGCCCATTCCCTGCCGCGCTGTTGCCTTGACATGGCTACCCGGCCACCACCAAGTCAATGGGTCCCAACTCCCGAAGGGCTTGGCTCGTGATCAGCCGGATGTCCTGAGGGAAGCGGTGATGCAGCTGGGCCCCCGCCCTGCCCCGAACGGTCTGGGGAAACTCCCGCGCCAGCTCGCTTAACGCGTGAGCGTGCACCACCCTGGCTGCCCCCCTCGCTTCGCACGCAATAAACTCCCCCAGTTCGTACCCCAACCGCGCCAGCGCCTGTGTGGCAGACCCCACCCCTGCAAACAGTTCCAGCACCCGTAGCGGCCGGTCGCCAGGTAGCGCCGGCACCAGGCGCTGGTCCAACGGTTTACACCCTGCCAGCTGGGGAATGGCCCCTTGCGGAGGTTTACCCGGCTTTCTCCGCTGCGTGCCCACTGCGGCGCTCACAGCGCGCTTAGCTTCTGCTGCAATATCAATCTGTGGCCCCCTAGGCCACCTTGTAGCGAGGCGCCTCCCCACTCGCTCCACTGGTGACAGCGTCTCCTTTGCCGCCCCCTCCCCTTCTGACCGGGTCACTCCCCCTTCCTGCGTGCGCCTCCCAAACCATGCCGGCAAGCGACCCGGCCCTGCCGTTCAGTTGGTTAAGCAACAGGCCAGGGCCACACTGGCCGCGCCCTTCTGCTGCCGTTTCCCGCCCCTGCCCCCAACAGTTGCCCACTCCCCTGGCTTCCCCTGGTGGAGCTTCATGGGAAGCTTGCCCACCTTGTCCCCCTCCGTCCGCCAATTCACCCGGTACACTCCCTCCTCAGTCCACCGGTCAACTGAGAGACCTGCTGGATAGGCAGCCCTCGTGCCAATCAGCAGGTCATACCCCGTTGAGCCGGTGAAAGCTAGCTTTTCCAACAAGCACAACTCTTCCGCAGTACCTGGGTTTAAGACTATTGGGACTGGCTCCTTTGTCAGACCCCCCGGCAGCACCTCCACTTTGCCCATTGCTGTTTGGACCCGGTGCCCACCCGTGTCCATGTCCGCCTCCGTTAGCCCCAGCCGAGCCTTCAGCCGCGCCCCCGCCATGGAGTAAAAACTCCCTCCGTCCAGCAACACCCGATCTGGGGCCCACCAACCCTTAGTGGTCATCACTTTCACTACCTTGGTGGCGTTATCTACCCAGTCCGGAACCCCCTCCACGTGCTCGCGCTCTGAGGGGCTGACGAGGGGCCTGCCCTCCGCGAAACAGGCCATTGCCTGGGCCCGGGTTGCGGCTGCCACCACCACATCCTCCTTGGGTGTCACCACCACCTCTGCCAGCTGGGCCGCGCCCCTCCATGCCCCTGTGCTTAACTTCTTTTCCCAGGCCAGGACCTGCACCAAAGGGGGATCCCCTTGCTGTACCTTCCCCTTCCCCTTGGGTGCCCCCGCTGCTGGGGCGCCTGCAGCCGCACCACCCGTTGCGCCTTGCGGGTCCTGCGCCCGCATCGCTGCTGCCTGGTCCACCCCCCGCTTGCGCGCCTCCTGCGCCACCAGCTCCCTGGCTACCCGCGCATCCTCGTCCACCGCGGCTGCGCGCGCCCGGTAGGCTGCCCTTGCGCCTTCCTCCTCCTCCTCCGCCATGGCGCGCGCCAGCTCCGCATCTGCATCAGCCCCTTGGCGCTCTCCCCCAGCGCGCCTGCGCATACGGGCGGCCCCCATGGCCGAGCTCTCTGGCTGCTCCTCAGCCTCCGCAGCGTCTGCCCACGCGATTGCGTCCGCAAACGCGACTTCCCGCGCTTGGTCCTCCTGCTCGCGCCCTTTCTCTGCTCGTGCTGCGCTGCCCGCCAACGCCGGCTGCGCGACGGGCCCCACCATCGCTTCGTGCCTCTCCCCAGTCTCCTCCGCAGCACGTTCTTCCCTGGCCCTGCGCGCCTTTAGCGCGATTGGGGACAGGGCCCTTCCTGCCCTCACCCTGGCCGGCAGCTCGCCCCCCAGCACCTGGCCATCCCGAGTAAGGGACGCAACCGTCGCCAGGTCCAGGCCCGCTTTCTCAGCCAGGTCCAGGAACAGGGCCACCGGCAGACGCACCTCGCCCGAGACAAGGGAGCCGTGACCAACCAACCCAGGCTGCTCACACCTGCTCGCGGCCTGTCCTACCTGGTTTGTGGCGCCTGTGACAGCACGGCGCGTGGTGTTAGGCATTACCCCCTCCGCTGCTGCTGCGCGCTGACCGTGGGGGGCATTGCCGGCTGGGCCTGCTTCCTTCACCTTAAAACCCTTGGGCAGCCGGTTAAGCCCCTGCGGTGCCACTTGACGGCCGTGATCCGGGAGCTTGACCAGGCGCTCCTTTGCCGCTGCCTTGTCTCGCCTCGCTTTTAGCGCCTCCGCCGCAGCTATGTTCACCGGTCCTGCGATCTGCGCCGTCCCCACCGCTGAGCCCGCCGCACCCTTTGTTTCCTCCCCCCCAGGCCCCTCCTTGGCCGGTCCCCGAGCCCTGGCGGCCCTGGTTGCCCTAGCTTTGTGCGCTCCTTCCTTCGTGCCCGCCGCTGCCATGACCACCCCAGGCGTACCGAGCGGGAGCGCCACCGCCCCTAACTCGTATTCTTGGTCGTCCCACTCCGACCCTTCTTCCTCCTCATCGCTCGCCCCAACTGCCGTCGCAGCCTGCGCAGACATCTTCCATGCCTGAAACTCCGCGAATTCTGCGCTGCTGACACTCTGCGTCGCCCTCGGGGCGGGCGCAGCAACTGCCGATGGCACCACCCGCTTCGAATACTGCGCTCCCAGATGGCCCGTGTCACCGCACACAAAGCACGGCGCCCTCTGCCTTCCGTGAA